TTTTTAAGTCTAAAATCTTTACTTTTTAATCTGAAAGGGCCCAAAAGGGTTACCCAGGAGAGGAAAGACTAGAAAATCCTTACAGGATCCATCCTGATTTATCCTCAGAAATTCTTGGCTTCTCAGTACGATGTTTGATCATCTTAACTCTCTGACCCAACCCTGTCCCTTTAGTCTCACATCCCCTCTTCCCGCCATCCTGAAGCCCAGCCCTCTCCATTTCCCCAAGCAGAGCTGGGGGCAGCCTCAGAATACTCCGTTTCTAGCTCTTACATGTCTTGATATAAAAACAGCAGCAAATTCCAATCTTATGTGGATTTTACCCCAGTGCTATTAAAATTTTTCTATTGGCCACCTTAAAAACACTTTAAAAAAGTTGAAATTAATTTTAGTAGTATTACTCGATACACTGGAGATATACTCTTGAGAGTCCCTTGGACTGCAAGGAGATCCAAACAGTCCATCCTAAAGGAGATAAGTCCTGAGTGTTCATTGGAAGGACTGATGCTGAAGCTGAAACTCCAATACTTTGGCCACCTGATGCAAAGAGCTGACTCATTGGAAAAGACCCTGATGCTGGGAAAGATTGAGGGCAGGAGAAGGGACGACAGAGGATAAGATGGCTCGATGGCATCATCGACTCGATGGACATGGGTTTGGGTGGACTCTGGGAGTTGGTGATGGACAGGGAGGCCTGGCATGCTGTGGTTCATGGGGTCGCAAAGAGTCGGACACGACTGAGCGACTGAACTGACCTGAACTGACTCGATACACTCAAAATATTATCATTTCAGTGATATTGGAGATATTTTAAATTCTTTTTTCCATAGCACGTCTCCAACACCTAGTGAGTATTTGACACTTGCAGCACACCTCAAGGCAGACCATTCACAACGTCACAAGCTCGGCAGCCACATGTGTTCTACGGCCGCCGTATTGGTCTGGATGCCGGTTACCCGGCTCCCAAACCTCCAGCCCAGATCTCCTCGGTGTTTCTCTTTCCTCTACTTTCTTCTCCCAACTCCTCCAGCTGTGTCTTAATTTCAAGTATTAAAAGAGGCAGCAGTGGCAGAAAACTCCGAGTTGTATTTAAACTACAGAAAGTGTCAGTTCTTCCGACTCCCCATCACAGCCCCCGCCTGCCTCTGGCCAGCTGCCCTTCCCCTCTAAGATTCTCACTTTTCCTCCTTGTGATCAGGGCAATGTCCTAAATAAAAGTCTTCAAAGCGAAGATTCTACCCATCTTTCTGGGTATTTTGACGACTAGGGTGTGATTAGTGTCGGATTTTTTTTTCCTTCCCACATTCCCTTTATCGAGATTAGTTTGGGACTTCCCTGGTGGTCCAGTGGTTAAGAATCGCCTTGTAATGCAAGGGTATGCAGGTTCGATCTCTGGTCCGGGAACTAAGAGCCCACATGTTGTGGAGCAACAGAGATGACTGGCAGAGGAGGAGTGGGGGGGACGGTAGTGCGCAGCAGCAAGGGGATGGGAGAGGGCTGCCCAGAGGGACCCAGGCTCCAGGTCCCCCCCCTGCTAACTCTCCCAGCGTGAGTGTCGGGGGAACTCAGGAAAGCCCCCAGAGGTGCATCTGCACGCCCCTTCTGGGAGGAAACTTGACACCCAGCTTCGCTGGAGGCAGGGTCCACAGATAAGGACAGAACCAAAGCCAGCCATGAGGATCTAGGAAGTTTGGGGCAAGTGGAACAAAGCCAGGCGGGCAAGCCAGCTGTGGAGAACGAAGCTTCAGAGAATAGGTGAGGGAAGTGCTGAAAACTTACTCTTTTCACCTCATTTATTAAGAAAACAGGGCTTCCCTAGCGGCTCAGATGGTAAAGAAGCTGCCTGCAATGCAGGATACCCGAGTTCCGTCCCTGGGTCAGGAAGATCCCTCGGAGACAGGCATGGCTACCTGCTCCAGTATTCTTGCCTAGAGAATCCCACGGACAGAGGAGCCTGGTGGGCTATAGTCCACAGGGTCGCACAGAGTCAGACACGGCTGAAGTGACTTAGCACGCACTCATTAGGAAAACATCATTCAGGGAGCATCCGTCATCAAGAAGAAAGCTCCCTAGTCATCAGAACTAATAAAAATAAATGAGAAAGAAAAAAAAAAAAAGAAGAAGAAAGCTCCCGGAGTCCTGGCTTGGGCTCCTGTTGCTTCTCCCGCCCCTGACTCGCATCTCTCTGCTCTGGGTGAACTTCCTCTGTGGTTGCACAGATGCTCAGAAGTAAAGGCCCGTGAATAGGAGCTCATAGGGAAGGAGAAGTGCTTTCCTCTAAAAATAGCAATTTGCATCCACTCTCTACCTCGGCCAGCTCTTGGTTACAGAACTCGCTAAAACCACACACGAGGAACCATCTGAGTCTCTAGCTATTGGAGGACATGAGGGCTTGGTTACCAGGCTCCTGCTAGAAACACATTAGCTGGGAAATACCATCTCAGCTGTAATGCTGATCTATTTCATTTCTGTCTCTCTCCCTGCCCTGGAGAGTGGGCGTATTAGTCAAGTGTTGCCTGACAACTTTCGTTGGAACCCAAGAGGCAATTCCCAGAAGCATGAGTGTGTGTGTGATTTTATGTGTGTGTGTGCATGAGTGGGTGAGTGTGTGTGTGTGGCAGAGATGGGGTTCAGGACAGACAGGGGATGCCCACTCCAGTGGATTTTCTTTGATGACATTGTGTGAGTAACAACCCACCCACAGTTTCTCCATGGAGATCAGGGGCTAAGTGAATATCAGCTGCAAAGAACGGTGGGAAAATCACTGTCACCGGTGACTGGCGGTTGGCGACCGCCAATGGCCCCTCAGCCACCTGAGCTGACGAGGCAGCTGGACTGTGGCTTTGCCTCCTGCAGCGCAGGGCTGCTGTGTCACCTGAAGCTATCTGGCTGGATCTTTGGAAGGCTGGACTCAGGAGGTATCCACAGAGGAGGGGACTTGGGAGCTGGAAGACCGCGGGTTCCCAACAGGGTGACTTGGAGAGTCTTCAGTCAGTTCAGTTCAGTCTCTCAGTCGTGTCCCGCTCTTTGCGACCCCATGGACTGCAGCAGCCAGGCCTCCCTGTTCATCACCAACTCTGGCTCAAATTCTGTCCTTTCTGAAAATGTGCAGACCCATCACTGACCAGAACGCTAAACCAAGTGTAAAGTGGGAGGTTTCTCATTGGCCAAAGGACAAAGAGAGGGGATTACAGTACCCCAGGGAGGTGGCGGAGGGGGGTCCCGGCCACCTTACTGGGGACGGGGAAGATTCCCTTCTCCTTTCCCCCCAGATGAGGCATCTTCCGGTGGCCTCTCCAGGCTGAGAACCAGGGCCCACCTATTAGGAAAAAGGGCAGGATGGATGGGTCTTCACAGGTGTTCAAAGAGAAATATTCTGCATAGAACTTGGGAGTGGAATGTGGTTGGTGGGGGAGTGGGGAGGGGCGGGGCGGGTGGGAGGGTGCTAGGTGGGGCCCAGCGGGGAGGAATGGGAGAGGCTGACCGAAGGGGACAGACTTCCAGGTCTGAGATGAGTAAATCTGGGCTCTAAGAGTATGGGGACTTCAACTAATCAGACTGCTATATGCTGGGGATTTGTAAGAGGGTAGATCTCATGTTCTCACTGCACAAAAAACATTAAAACTGATTAAAACAATAAGTGTGTAAGGTGACTGTTAACTTGATTGGGGCGCTCATTTCACAATGTATATGTACATTAAATTATCACATTATGCACATTTTAAAAAATCACATTTACACCTTAAATATACACAGCTCTTATTTGTTGCTGTTGAGTCGCTTGGTCGTGTCCGACTCTTTGGGACCCCATGGACTGTAGCCCACCAGGCTCCTCTGTCCATGGGATTCTCCAGGCAAGAATATCGGAGTGGGTTGCCATTTCCTTCTCCAGGGGATCTTCCCGACCCAGGGATTGAACCTGCGTCTCCTGCGTTGGCAGGCGGTTTCTTTACCACTGAGCCCCCAGGGAAGCCCAGTAAAGCTGGGGGAACAACCAGAGGGAAACATTCCAAAGGTGTGTCTATCTGAAGGCTTGTCTGTGTAGGTGTGGAGGCACACATCTCAGAGGGAGCTGTTTCTCCTCAGTGAAGTGAGGCTGCCACTGGTGTGCGGACTATGACCCGAGTGACAGAGATAGACCGAGTCCCAGGGTGTCCTTGACGCACGTGAGGTGCTTCAAAGAGGTGAATTTCCCTCAGACGTTTTAAATTATTACTATGTTTTAAAGAATATAGCTTTTTTTTTTTTTAAGTTTTGAGCCACACAGCATGTGGGATCCTAGTTTCCCAACTGGGCAACGAACCCAAAGCCCCTGCAGTGGAAGCTCAGAATTCTAACCACTGAGCCAGCAGGGAAGTCCCCAAAGGACATCACTTCAGAGAGGCAACAAGATTTCCCTCAGACAACTTTAATTAACCTGATGCACACGCTGTTTAAAAGAGACACCACCCCTTCCCTCAGACAGCTTTGACATCACCCTCCCTGACCTCGAGGTACTTTCTGAGGCCCCCCCGGCCCCATGGAGACCCTGCAGTCCGGCTGCCAGGAGGAAGTGAAGGGCGTTCTCCCAAGTCTCAGCCCCTGGGGAGCCCAGCCCCTGAGACGTGGGGAGCAGGGAGCTTGGGGAGCCAGAGCAGAGCTGGGCGGGGAGGATGAAGGGGGAAGAGAAAGGCCAGCCCCAGGGCCCCACCTCAGCCCCCTAGACACAGAGCGGTGTCCTCCCTGGGCAGAGGGGACGTCAACCTGTCACGGTCCAGAACCAGCACTCTCCCCAGAATCACCGTCCTTAGGATGCGTGTGTGTGTGTGTGTGTGTGTGTGTGTGCGCGCGCGCCCACGAGTGCATCAAGTCAAGTGACGGCGTGCATCAAGTCAAGTGACGGCCACGAGCCTTCAAAACCCAGCTTGAGATTCATGTTGATGTTTGACAGAAAACAACAAAATTCTGTAAAGCAATTATTCTTCAATTAAAAAATAAATTAATTTTTTAAAAAACCCAGCTTAAGGAAAACAACTACAAAATCCCACATGTCGGAAGCCCAGTCGGGGAGCGCGCTGAGCCAGTCTCAGGAAGGAGGCCCCTCGCCCTCTCCCCTGCACCCCTGACGCTTCTCTCGGGACTTCGGCCCCCGGCCCTGCTCCCAAGCTCTCCAGCAGTGGGGACACGATGGTCTGAACCAGGGCTCCAGCCCAGCAGCTCCCAACTGTGAGCCCTGAACCCCAAGTGTGGGTCCAGGAAGGGCACTTGCGACCTGGAGAAGCAGGAACAAGATGCTGCCCCTCCAGGTGGGGACCACACATCAGGAGCGGGGGCTCTGAGCCAGGCGGGATGGCTATGACTCCGCGGTGTTTCATTCCACAGCCGAGTTTCCTCTGGAAACGGGGTGCAGTGTTGGAAGTCTCCGCTCATCCATCCGTCTAAACGGGGGTGTCTCTGGTCAGAAGCTCAGAGGACAAGTTCGCGTAGATGGGCTGACCCTGCGGCTCCGCAATGTCCCTCCGACGTTCCTCCAACCAGAGCACAGCGCCGACCAAGCCGAGCAAGAAGGGCACCTTCAGGAATACCAGGAGCATGTAGTGGGTCCTGGGAGGGGGTGGGCAGAGCAGTCAGAGCCCCAGGCCCCTCCATGTCCACCCCCCACAAACTTGGAAACCGGGGAGTCTTGCGGGGAGCAAAGCCTGTGATGCTGGGCTTGGCAGCCCTGTCTGAAGACTCCCAGGGACCTGCTTAATGGCTCAGTCCCAAGGGCCCTAGGAATAGCTCAGCTTTGCGGCTTTGCTGTATATCGTGCCCACTTCCGTCTCCAATTTCACCTTTGTCTGAGTGCATCTCAGCCCAGGAGACGCGCCTGCAGGTCACCCACGGCAGGCTGGCTCTGTGTGTTCACGGCTCCCATGGCCACCAGCTCCAGGCTGCTAAACCACCCTCCCTGAAGCCTGGAGGTTTGTGTCTCCCTCGGCATCCACTAGGTCATTCGAGCTGCTTTATTGATTGGGCAGAGGACCCGCGAGCTCCTCTCCAGCAGGGATGCTTACAGAGGAGGGGTCTGCAGAGCAGACATCTGGCTGGGGCTCCAACGGGAAGACAGAGGATGAGGAGGAGGGGCCTGGGCGGAGGGGCACGGAGGGTGGGCAAGGGGCCTTGGCTCTGACCGAGGTGGGCTCCAGGGTCAGGTGACTGACTGCATGAGGGTCGACAGCCCCACAGGAGAGGCCCCAGGTCGGGGCAGGAGAAAGGACCACAGCTACTCACCTGCTGTGGGGGTGGGAGGACGTGGCTGGAGGGCTGGTGGTCCTCATCCTGGAGTCCTGGCTTTCTAGTACGGTCAGAGCAGCTTCCCCTACACACAGGTGAAGTCGGCCCAGGTTATCAGCACAGACCCAGGGTGCATGCTCCCCTCGCAGTGCCCCACCGCGCTCAGCCCTCGCAGGAGACCCCCTTCCCCTGGCCCAGGGGGCTTCCTCTCTGGCTGCAGTCCCTCTGGTTTCTCCCCTTTCTGCCAAGTCATCTGAACCACAGTACACAGTCATCTTCGCCCCCGCCATCATTTCCAGGTGAGGCCAAAAGGAGTAAAATTAAATATGTCAATCCCAGTCTCCCGGTTCGGCCCATCCCCCACGTGTAAAGCAGATAGCTAGTGGGAAGCCGCTGGGTAGCACTGGGCGCTCAGCTGGGTGCTCTGTGATGACCTAGTGGGCTGGGATGGGGGGGGTGATGGGAAGGAGGTTCAGAAAGGAGGGGATACTTGTATGCATATGGTTGATTTACTTCACTGCACAGAAGAAACCAACGCAACATTATAAAGCAATTATCCTCCAATTTTTAAAAAGAAAAAGAATGTATATATACTAATATATAACTGACCCTATATGAATCCCTTTGCTGTATAGAGGAAATTAACACAGCATTGTAAATCAACTATGGAGTTCGATCCCTGGAGGAGGGCACGGCTACCCACTCCCATATTGTTGCCTGGTGAAGCCCATGGGCAGAGGAGCCTGGCGGGCTACAGTCCACGGGGTTGCAGAGTCAGGCATGCCTGAATAGCTCATGCTTCCACAAATCAACTGTACGTCAAAAAAATAAATTTTTAAGATGAAAAAAAAATTTTACATTCCCATTAAAACAGAATTCAAAAGAAAATGAAATAAAAGCAAGCACTGCATTTTATTCTGGGGAGAGAGAAAAATCACACTACAAGTGGAACTTTTTGGTTGAAGGTGGTGGGAATCCCTGGTCCTTTCTGCTCAAACAGTGCCCGAGCAAAGAGAGCTCAAGAACAGACAGTTCTGGAAACAGGGCGTCTAGTTACTGGGGTGGAAATGAGCAAGGGGGATTCCGGAACACTGGTGCATAAGAGGACGCCTTCCAGTGAAATAGTGAACAGTGACAGTGATGAAGGAGATATACATCTCATTAAGAGAATCTATGGAGACGATTTATGTGAGCAACCTGGTCTCTAGAGAGCAGAGGCCCCAGAGCACCCTGGGTTGGCCGGGGTTCTGGGGTTCAGCGCTGGGATGCACTGGGTTACCCCAGATGTCCCTCTGTGCCCCTCTGCGTAATGACAGGTCCCGGGTGTGACGACTGGAGGTTGGCCACTTCCTAGAGTGATCTCTGGGACATCACCGCAGGGGCCTCTGAGAGACCTCGGGGATGCGGTGGGCAGCCAGGCTGGGAAGTGATGCTTTGCCTTGGTCTCTCCCGCTTCCTCCCCATCCGTCTGTCCCTTGCTCTCGCTCACGCTCGCTCTCAGACACCCCAACCTTTCTCTCCTGCCCTCGCGGAGGTGTGGGGAGGGGACATCAGTCTTCCAGTCCTGAGCACCAGGGCCCCGTAGCATAGACAAGGAAGCTCTTACTTGGATCAACAGTCACTTTAATTTGCGTCCCCAGGTCGGTTCCAGGCCTCTCAATCCCGCACCAGTAAGTGTCTGCGTCGTCCTGCCTGAGCTCCTGCAAGGTCACTGTGAATGAGCGGTTTCTCTGGTCGTCCTTGATGGACACGCGGTCTCCTTTCTCTTCTCGCCCCGATCCCTGGGTTTGCACGAGGATCCGGCATGAAGCCCACCACGCCCCCCGACACCACCACTTCTTATGGCTCTCCCATTCGGAGTCGTAGCGACACTGCACACTCACCGACTCCCACTCCTGGCCCCGCACAGACTCTGGGCCTTGGATGGACAAACAGCCTGGAAAACAGAATCCAGAATCCAGCTCCTGCCTCTCCGAGCTGGACCAGACTGATGTCCGAGATTGTACCAGCGTCCCCGGCCTTCCCGGAAACCCCCAGCTGATGCCTCAAGTCCACCTTCTCCTCCGTTCTTCTCCTCCCCACCGGCTGCCTTGGCCTCCTCGGTCCCCGTGTCCCTACGCCTGCTCACCGCGTCCACTTTTCTGGCACTTTCTTTCCGTGTCCTCTCAACACTGTTCTCAGCTGGCTCCTCGTCTTCTCCAACTACTCGGTCCCAAAGGCCTCTGCGGATTCTCTTCTCTCTCTTTCCCTTTAAATCTTGGTGTAAACAGTGGTGCTGTGTTGGTAAATACCTAACAACCCGTCCTCGGGGGTAAAAACCATCTCCGGTTTGGAGTGCTTTCCAAATTCTGGTGTGTAAATATTCCCACCACGGCTGACTTCCGGCTATCCACGTGACATCACTGGGCACCGAGGTGGGAAGAGGTGTCCCCAGTCTGAGCCAGCTCTCCCGAGGAGGAGCCAGGGTCGCCCCTCCAGCCTTTATCTTGTCTCACTGTATTACACCCCCAAAGAGTGACTCTCCATTCCTATGGTTTCTTGTGTACAGGATGATGATTCCCAAATCCGTATCTGTAGCCCCAATTCTCCCCTTGGCCCCAGCCTGCCTGTGTGCGTGCTAAGTCACTTCAGTCGTGTCTGACTCTTTGTGATCCCATGGACTATAGTCCGCCAGGCTCCTCTGTCCATGGGATTCTCCAGACAAGAACACTGGAGTGGGTTGCCATGCCCTCCTCCAGGGGATCGTCCCAACCCAAGGATGGAAGCTACATCTCTTAGGTCTCCTGTACTGCAGGCAGATTCTCTACCACTCGTGCCACCTAGGAAGCCCTGGCCCCAGTCTACCGCTTACAAATACACACTGGATGTCTCTTCCCCAGAGTCAACAGTTACAGAGCTATGACGCTTTTGAGGGGAGCTGGGTAGCACAGCTTTGGGGATCTCAGTTCCCTGACCAGGGACTGAACCTGGACCACAGCTGTGAAAGCACAGAGTCCCACTGCCTGGACCACCAGGGACGTCCCGACCATCACAGAACTGAATACATCGCTTCTTCCATCCGGACTCACTCTCCTTCAACACTTCCTCTGTCTCGTAGAGAGTTGGCATGGACGAACCAGCAAGGGTCTGCTGGGAGTGGGACTAGGTATTCTGCTTTTCTGTGGACTGAATGGTTAAACTCACTGTGTTCAGATACACAGATACTCTATCCTGGGCCAGGACCATTTGTGCATTGACCACGCGGCAATATGCCAAGAGAAGCTCACAGGAAGCCTCTCTTGACCATCTCATGGCCCCAGAGCTCCAGGGCCAGGGCGAGGGCTGGGGTCTGTGCAGGACGGAGGGAGTCAGGTCTGTTGCACCAGGTGTCACCTCTCACACCTCGGACCTTCTCCCTGAAACTATTTTAGTTACTTGGGGTTTGCACTTATGGCAGCAGAATAACTCCCTCCCAACATGCTCACATCTTGGGCTTCCCCTGTGGTTCTGTGGCAAAGAATCTGCCTGCAGTGCAGGTGATATCAGTGATGCGAGTTCGATTCCTGGGCCAGGAAGATCCCCTGGAGAAGGAAATGGCAACCCACTTCAATAATCTTGCCTGGAACATCCCATGGACAGAGGAACCTGTTGGGCTACAGTCCATGGGGTCACAAAGAGTCAGATACAACTGAGCGACTAAGCACAGATCCTAATTCCCAAGAATTCACAGATGTGACTGAAATAAGGCTCTCAAGACAGCAAGCTTATCCTGGGTTATCCAGCTCGGTCCAATGTAATCACAAGGGTCCTTGAAAGTGAAAGCAGAAGGGACTTCCCGGGCGGTCCAGCGGTCAGGACTCCACGCATCCACTGCAGCCCTGGGTTCAATCCCTGGTCAGGGAACACAGATTCCCATAAGCCATGTGGTCAAAAAAGAAAAAAGGTGAAAGAGCTGAAGGAGAGTTAGTATCAGCATCAGAGATTTGAAGGCAGAGAAAGGGCTCTCGAGCCAAGGAATGTGGGTGGCTTCTAGAAACTGGGAAAGGTAAGCAGACAGGTTCTTCTGTAGGGCATCTAGGAGGAATGAAACCTTGCTGACCCCCCGAGTGTAAGCCAGAAAGACCACTTTGGACTTCTGACCTTCAGAACTGTAAGAAAATAAGTTTGTGTCATTTCAAGCCCCGAGGCTCGTGGTAATGTGTTACAGCAACCACAGTGAAATGGAGCAGAACCCTATGGTGCCTGCCCCCATGTCCTCTGCCTGCCTTTCGTCTGTGGAAAAACTGTAGCCCGTGAATAAATTTCATTAGAGAAGTGAAAACACGCAGAAGCCAAGAAAAATAATCAGAAGAGACCAGATGATAGCGATGCCGTCCTTAAGCGTAGACAGAGACCTTTAGTTCCGTCCCAAGGGCTATGATAGCATCCTGGGCCGTGCTGTGAGCAGTCTTACAGAGATGAGCCCCTCGCTAGGTGGAAAAGTGAATTACAGATGACCAGATTATAGCCGTGACATAAGCTACCACAATCCCAAGAACTGGCCTCAGGGAAATGGGAACAAGCCCACCCTGGAACTGAAGACTAACTGTACTTAAAATAATACGATGACGCTGGTCAGACCGCTGATGACCGACTTCAGGATAACTGTCGGAGCTGATTGTGCTGTTTCTGCCTGGAGCCCCCCACCCCCGCAGTCTGTAAAAGCTGTGGCATCTTGACTGTCAGTGGGAGGGGAGTCAGCCTTTCGACAGGCATCCGTGCCCAGCACCCACCCCGCCCTGTTGCTGGCATCCAGCTAAAGCAAACTTCCCACCAACCTGCTGTCTTTAACGGCTTTTGAGCTGCGAGCAGCCTGACCCTGCTTTCAGTTATGATAAGAAAGGAGTGTGGATTTCAACCAGCAGAACTAATGCTACTCTCCTCAAACCAGCACCGCCACTAGCACATCTAACTGGAGACCCTGGCATCCTCACTGCCCTGTTCTCTCCCTCCCCCTCCACAACTAACGGGTAACCAACTAGACAACTCTCCCTCAAAAATGAGGGCTTCCCCGGTGGCTCAGTGGGAAAGAATCTGCCTGCCAACGCAGGAGACTCAGGTTTGATCCCTGGGCCAGGAAGATCACTGAAGAAGAAATTGGCAACCCAGTCCAGTAGTCTTGCCTGGGAAATCCCATGGACAGAGGAGCCTGGCGGGCTACAGTTCATAGGGTCACAAAGAGTCAGATGGGATTGAGTGACTGAGCACAGCACACCTCAAACCTGCTTGTCCAGATGATTGTCTTGTTTCCTCTGCCATCAAGGTCCACGGGGACAGCCTGACATGCTAGAAAGAGCCTGAGCTCTGGACACAGAAAGACCTGTCGGCCACAGAGTAGTTGGGAAAGTTTAAGTTGCTTCCTCTCTGAGCCTTGCTTCTGTATTTGCAAACTGGCTAGCTACTTTCCACCTTGCAGGTTCTTCTTGGGGATGTGTGCAAACCTCAGCATTCAGGAATTGCCCCATCAGCGGTAGCCCAGCCACACCCTTGCTCTGCTGCCTGGGTCGCAGCAGCAGCACTCGGTGGGGTTCCCCAGCCCCCACTGCACCCCTCGTCCTGTCTCCTCTGCACATCGCCATGGGAGCTTTGTACCAAAACTGTCCCCAGATCGTCCTCAGTGACACTTGCCACAAGCACTTAAAATCTTTCAGGACCTCTCCCGCAGCCGCTTCCCACTGACTTGGAATGACTTAGATGCCTGAGTTTGCTCTACTTAAAATGGATAAACGAAGACCTAATGTACAGTGCAATGAACTCTGCTCCATGTTGCTGGAAGCCTGGAAGGAGGAGAGTTTGGGGCAGAACGGATCCATTGTGTGTACGGCTGAGTCCCTTCTCGGTTCACGTGAAACTGTCACGACACGGTCAACCTGCTCTGCTCCAATACAAAATGAAGTTTTTAAAAAAATGTCTTAGTTTGATAGTTAGGTCTTTTACAATCTTGATCCAGCTCTCTGTCCACTGTGACTTCCTGTGGCTCCCTGCCTCCCACGCTGCCCACCCCCACTTTCCTCTTTCCCTGACTCAGATGCTGCCTCCCAAGCGGCTGTGTCACTGCCCTTCTCCTTCCTTCCAGCCAGAAACCCCTGCTCCCAGCCCTGCCCGTCTCCTGGTCATTCTCCAGGTCTCCTTCAAGGTTCCGCCTTCTCTGCAGCCTTCCTCCCCTTCCCCCCCACTGCTCCACAGCCCTTTGCAGGAACCCGAATGCCGCACTAGCGTCTTTTCATCCTCAGCAGTCTTCCTCTCTGCCTCCCTTGCTAGGATGCTCTGTTCCAAGGAGCAGAGATCTTGTGTTTGTTTCTTCTCTCTCTTCCCATCCCCAGCCCCTGTGACTTACACACTGTCTGGATCCTGGTTGGTACCCTTGAAGTTTATGATTAATTTTGAAAAGAAGCTAGTTGTTATGATCTCAGACAGAATCATCCAAGTCTAGGATCAATTATAGTTTCCACACCAATGAGAAATGAAGTGTAAGGGTGCTAGCTGCATTGCTAACCAAACAGGGAACACTGGAAACAAATCCAAATGCCACCAGTGGGAGAATGGGCTAATAGACTGTGATCTGTCCGACACATGGTTAGAAGAAAAAGACAGGGACTTTGCTGGTGGTCCAGTGGCTGATTCCCCACTCCCAATGCAGGTGGCCCAGGTTCGATCCTAGGTCAGGGAACTAGATCCCACATGCTGCAGCTAATACCAAGTGCAACCAAATAACTAAATACATGTCAAGAGAAAAGACAAATCATAATGACGGGAAAGACGTCCCAGACATATTACCATTAGGTTAAAACAAGTTGCCTGACTGTGTATGATTTCTCTTCCTTAGTTTTTCGATAGCACATGCGTAGGGGAAAATAAGTGGTTAGGGTTGAGTTTGAGGATTTTGAGGGGAAATTTCACTTTCTAACTCACACATTTCTATTTTGTCAAAATCTTCAAAAATACAATTAACTGATGAAACAACAGCTTTTTTCATTAACAAGGAGTCAATTAGAAGAATTGCTAAAAAGACAGAAATTGATGTAAATTAAAATCTAATGTAAGAGTCAGCAGAAAGAGTCATGTTTTTGCCCCTTAAAAATAAATAAGCTATAGTAGGAAGCAAAAGCACAATCAAAACATATTCTATCTGCCAGTGATCATAAACAGCAGAAAACAGGTGTGGGTACTTGGAAACAGAAATGCCATCCACCCCAGCCTTGGTAATTTAACAGAATGGTCAAGCACTCATAATGTGATGGGGCTTGGTTTTTAAAAATACATGGGGGTTTTTTATAAACAGATATTATGATGGATGATAAAATGTTCATTAGACCTATGCATTTTCAAGAGAATTTTGTCGTTGTTGTTTTTAGCTTTTGCTTTTTGGCCGTACCACTGCAGTTTGCAGGATCTTAGTTCCTGACCAGGGATTGAACCCCGGGGTCCCAGCAGTGAAAGCGAGAAGTCCCAACTACCGAACCTCCAGGGAATTGCCCCAAGAATTGGTCTGAAGGAAGAGAGAAAAATGATACGACACTGCTGACCTGGGAGCAGAACTCTGGGAAACATAACTGATGGGTTTTAAAAGCCTAAGCCTGTTTGGGGCTTCCCTGATGGTTCATATGGTAAATAATCCGCCTGCAATGCGGGGACCCAGGTTTGATCCGTGCGTCTATCAAGAAGATCCCCAGGAGAAGGGAATGGCTACCCAATCCGGTATTCTTGCCTGGAGAACTTCATGGAAGAGGAGACTGGCTGTTTGAATTTCAATTTTTTTTTTTTTTGCTTTCATGAATTTGATATAAACTTTCTTTTTCATGTCAATCATTCAGGGAAGTTTGCCCTCTGTGCAAAATTCTTGGGTGAATGGTCTTGTCTCAAAATCGAGAGCATGGTTAATCTCCACATCTAGGCTGCTAGCGAGTAACAAATGACTCATAAAAATGAGGCAAATTCACCCAAGGGGGTCTCAGAGCAGAGGTCCCGGGGAACGTGTGTTGTGCAGTGGGGTTTGATCCTGTCTTAGTTTGCACTTATAGGGCCGGGGGTCTGGGCTGGTGTTCCCCAGACATCATGGCAGCCCAAGCTAAGAGAAACAGTTTCTAGGGTGCAGATCTGGGCCCCCGGTTATTCTTGCAACACTTTGCTCTTTGGGGAACAGGGATCTCTTCTTCCATTCTTGGGGTTGTTGGGGGTCTGGTAAACAAGCAGATGAATGTCCAACCAGAAGCTGGGTCGTTGTGACTTCACCACGTCCACCTCTCTCCTGCCTTTCACAGAGGAAACCCAGGGCGGCTGATGGTGTCCAGAGGTGAAAACTTGACCGGCTGCCTTCTTTTCTTCATCCTTGACTAACTTCATGCCCAAGTTCATTCAGAATTGGAAGAGGAGGGACCCATTCGCTCTCTCAAGGCCAACCCTCCCCCCAAGCCACCGATCTGCCTGTGTGAGTGTGTGTGTGGCTGTGCAAGTGTGTGGTTATTCTGTGTCCCTGTGAGTGAATATATATGTGTGTCTGTGTGCCTATACGAGTGTGTGTGTGTTATGAGAGTGTGAGAATATAGACATGAACTGGCATGTGATTCCATAGGTGTGTATGTTCAACTCCATTGGGTGAGTGTATTGTGTACATGCGTCTAAGAGCATGTGATCCCAACACGGTCCACCCACGCCCTTCTCCTTGGCCTCCCGGTGAGCTGGACGTTGAGGTTAAGAGAGGGAGGAGATGGAGGGGCGGTCTTGGAACTCAGATGGAAAACTGGAGCCCAGGGGGAGATGCAGACATTCTGAGCGGCCATCCTTTGGGGGTCTGGGTCACCTGGGGTCGCTGTTAGTGAACACGGCCATCACAGACAAGCTAGTCCCACAACCCATCCACCAGTACCAGCAGAAGGCTTCTTCAGCATCAGTACCATCAACAGCGGCAGTGAGAATTCAGGGACGCCCATCTGAATGGTAGAGACCTACACCTCTAGAGCTGGAAAGGGCTCAAGGACTCCCACCCCCCCGGAAATCCAACAAGGGACTGGGACTCATCTCTCCGGACTCCTTGGCCATGCTCTTTCCTGCGGCCCCTCTATGGAGTGGTCTGTGAGTGTCACAGGGCCAGTCCCCAGGCCTGGAGAGAGAGGACTGTGTGACCCGCACCTACTGCCTACATTGTGCAAGCTTCCACACTGTTTCCTGGATGCTAGGGCAGTGGTTTTCCATAGAAGAGAAGCCCCTCCCATCACCCAGCAGTTCCCTCTTTGAAAGCCTCAGTTCCTGGGCAGGGTATCCCAGGCCCTTCAGAGTCCTATCTGTGGTGCTCCCAGCCTCAGTTCCAACAAGACACCCCAAGGCTCTCTGAGAACTCAGAGCTCCCTCTGCATGAACCCAGCATCCTTTCTCAAGCCTCCAGCCCTTGGCATGCAGTCCCTCTCCGAGGAACACTGGTCCCTCTTCTCCACATGGAGAGCTGATCCTCCCATTCTCCCAGGCTCATCTGAAGGACGGTTGCCACGAGCCTGTTCTGTTAGGCTCGTGGGAACTTAGTTCTCTGACCAGGGATTGAACCCAGGCTCTCAGCAGTGACATTGCAGAGTCCTAACCGCTGGACTACCAGGGAACTCCCAGCTCCTCTTTTTAAAGGTCGGTCCTATTTCTCTTTTCCCTTCCTCAGAGCCAGATGCCTGTCTGGTACAAAGAGGAACCCAGTGAGCTTTTGTCGGATGAATTAACAGTCATCTCTCATTTCCCCAAGATATTCTTCCCTGTACCTGGGACAAGGGCTTCTCAGGTGGCACAGTGGTAAACAACCCACCTGCCAAGGCAGGAGATGCAAGAGATGTGGATTCGAATCCTGGGTTGGGAAGATCCTCTGGAGGAGGGCATGGCAACCCACTCCAGTATTCTTGCCTGGAGAATCCCATGGACAGAGGAGCCTGGTGGGATAGTCCATGGGGTAGCAAAAAGCTGGATACGACTTAGCGACTTAGCACACACATATCTGGGACAGACCCTCCACCCCCTCGCCCCGTGCAATGCCCCAGCCTGCTCACCTGGGATGCTGAGAAGCAGCAGAGCTGGGGGCAGCCACATCGTCCTGCCTCCGGGCTTCCTCTCCCCGCCGACTTACAAACCCAGGTGCCAGCTGACTCTCAGAGCTCTGAGCACAGGCAGGCTGGTGCCCTCCGCCCGTCCAGACCGCCTTTACGTTTCTTACTCATTCGCTTCCTTTTATGGAGTGAGTGTTTCCTGCTTTTAATTATTTAGCATAAGCAGTGCTGTTTCTTGGCAGGCTGGGTCACAGGGTACGAGACCTGCACTAGGTCAGAAAGAGGAAGCTAGAGAGCTGTGCGGGGGAGAAAGGGGGCCCGTGTCTGCAGAAGGGTCAGAGGAGCGGGTTTCTGACCTACCAGGCCTTGGGTGGCTGTCAACTCCAGAAATGATTCTCCATGACAGCAGTGGGTCCCAGCAGCAGAAAACTCTGCAACTCGCGGGCCAGGTGTCCGTGCTGGGCACACCTGCTGATGCACCCGTCCAGGTGTTACAGCCAAGCGCGTAAATGTGCCAGCTATGAAATGAGACAAACCCAGGCTCTAAGCCCATGAGCACCACATACGAGCCGTATAACTGTGGGCAACTTACTTAATCTTTCTGAGCCTCGGTATTTATATCTGTAAAATGGACTAATAAGAGCTCTTATGAGAATTTAATGAGGAAATGTACGAGAAGTTCCAAAAACAGAGTTCTGGGATGTGGTTAGCACAGTGTCTCCTTATTAATACCCTGGGCAAGACTCCAGACACTAGAAGAAGAGTAGCATTCAAATAAGCCCAGGATAGGGGCTTCCCTGGCGGTCCAGGGGTTAAGACTCTGTGCTCCACTGCAGGGGGCTTGGGTTCCATCCCTGCCCTGGAAACTAAGGACCTGCATGCCACAGGGTGTAGCCAAAACAGAGAAGCCCAGGACAGGGGCTGAGAGGAAGCCAGTGGATTGAGTTTCCTCACTAATAATAGGACAAATTCTAATCTTAACCAGACTGCATTTAATTCAGATCACAATATATATATAACCCAGGAGTAAAACTCTTCAAGAGCAGCTCTGGGAGGCAGGTGAGGGTGTTTCTTCCCAGGAGTCCAGAGCCAAACTGGAGGGGGGAGCTGTCCCTGGAAGTCCTGTGTTTTGATGGCTCAGCACACATTCAGAAGGGCTGGGAGGAGTAAGAGGGCCTTAGTCACGTATCAGGGCTCTGTGGGCACCAAGGAAGGGATGGATGGGAAGTAGGAAAAGGTGTGGAGTATGAGTTTCCCACAGGTTTTCTCAGAATCAGGCCAGTTCACTGCCCCACCATCTTCACTTCTCTGGGAAGGTGGAGCAAGTCTGTTGCTAGTATAAAAAATTTAGGGAGTTCCCTTAGATATGCAGATGACACCACACTTAATGGCAGAAAGCGAAGAAGAACTAAAGAGCCTCTTGATGGAACTGAAAGAGGAGAGTGGAAAAAGTTGGCTTCAAACTCAACATTCAGAAAACTAAGATCATGGCATGTGGTCCCATCATTTCATGGCAAATAGATGGGGAAACAATGGAAAGAGTGAGAGACTTTATTTTGGGGGGCTCCAAAATCATTGCAGATGGTGACTGCAGCCATGAAATTAAAAGATACTTGCTACTTGGAAGAAAAGTTATGACCAACCTAGACAGTGTATTAAAAAGCAGAGATATTACTTTGCCAACAAAGTTCCGTCTAGTCAAATCTTTGGTTTTTCCAGTAGTCATATATGGATGTGAGAGTTGGACTATAAAGAAAGCTGAGCGCTGAGGAATTGATGCTTTTGAACTGTAGTGTTGGAGAAGACTCTTGAGAGTCCCTTGGACTGCAAGGAGATCCAACCAGTCCATCTTAAAGGAGATCAGTCCTGGGTGTTCATTGGAAGGACTGATGCTGAAGCTGAAACTCCAATACTTCGGCCACCTGATGTGAAGAGCTAACTCATTTGAAAAGACCCTGATGCTTGGAAAGATTGAAGAAGGGGGGAGAAGGGGACAACAGAGGATGAGATGGTTGGATGGCATCACATACTCAATGGACATGAATTTGAGCAAGCTCCAGAAGCTGGTGATGGACAGGGAAGCCTGGCGTGCTGCAGTCCATGGGGTCGCAAAGAGTTGGACATGACTGAGCAACTGAACTGCACTGAACTGGTGATCCAATGGTTAGGACTCGGTGCTTCCACTCCCAGGGCTCAGGTTCAATCCCTGATCAGGAAATTAAGATCCCACAAGTGGCATGGCCTGCCCCCTCCCCAAAAAAGTATATAATTCATCATGGTAATGTAGTAAATGGCATCCGGTCCCGTCACTTCATGGCAAATAGATGGAGAAACAGTGGAAACAGTGGCTGACTATATTTTTCTGGGCTCCAAAATCACTGCAGATGGTGACTACAGCCATGAAATTAAAAGACACGTACTCCTTGGAAGGAAAGTTATGACCAACCTAGACAGCATATTAAAAAGCAGAGACATTACATTGTCAACAAAGGTCCGTCTAGTCAAGGCTATGGTTTTTCCAGTGGTCATGTATGGATGTGAGAGTTGGACTGTGAGGAAAGCTGAATGCCGAAAAATTGATGCTTTTGAACTGTGGTGTTGGAGAAGATTCTTGAGGGTCCCTTGAACTGCAAGGAGATCCAACCAGTCCATCCTAAAGACGATCAGTCCTGGGTGTTCATTGGTAGGACTGATGCTGAAGCTGAAACTCCAATACTTTGGCCACCTCATGCGAAGAGTTGTACTGTAGTCCATGGAGTCATAAAGAGTTGGACATGATTGGATGACTAAACAACAGCATGCAAAGCATTATATAAAAATCCAGTACTTTTCATGATAAGCCAGGAATGGAAAGATATTTATAAGGAAACATTCTGCAAACATTAAAACCAGTGGTAGGGACTTCCCTGGGGATCCAGTAGGTCCATGCTTTCAATGCCAAAAGTGAAAGTCACTCAGTCATGTCCGACTCTTAGTGACCCCATGGACTATACAGTCCGTGGAGTTCTCCAGGCCAGAATACTGGAGTGGATAGCCGTTTCCTCCTCCAGGGGATCTTCCCAACCCAGGGATCAAACCCAGGTCTCCCACATTGCAGGCGGATTCTTTACCAGCTGAGCCACGAGGGAAGTCCCACAAGCCTCAGGGCATGGCCAAAGGAAAAAAAGGCAAATCGTGAAAAGGCTTCCCTTTAAAAGCGGGAGAAAGACCAGGATGTTCATAAAGATGACTTCGACTCAAGGCTTTCATTGGCTTATGGAATAAACAAGAAAGAGAAACAAAAGAAATGAGAACTGGAAACGAAGAAACAAAATTCTAAATAATTATTGGTGATTTGACTGTCTACACAGAAGGCTAAAAGGAGTGAGTCAGGTTTTAGCAGGGTTGCTGTATATTGTAGTTTCTCTTTTTACTTCTAGTTTCTTGAGTGGTTTTTATGATGAAAAGGTGTTAAATTTTATCAAATATTTTTTCTGCTTCAATTGAAATGATCTTGTGGGTTCTTTTCTCGACATAGTTTATTCTTCCTTTTAAGTTTGATTAATTGTACAATTTATATGGAAGAGGGAGTGGCAAATATTTGCAAAGACTCCCAATGTCAGACAACAATGTGCAGTGATGTCCTATCAGGTAAGACTTTTCATAAAGCTGTAACAGCGCTGTATCTGTTTCCAGAGTCAAACAATTAGACAAATAAAATAGGATAAAGAGTCTAGGAAAAATGTCCAAGAATACACAGAAATTAAATGTAGGGACAAAGTTCTGTGACATTGGTCTTAGCAATGATTTTTTTAATATAACACCTAAAGCATAATAAAATCAAAAATTAATAAGTGGGACTGCATCAAATTTTAAAGCTTATGCACAGTAAAAGAAGCAATCAACAAAAATGAAAAGGAAACTTACAGAATGGGAGAAAAAGTTTGCAAACCACACTTCGGGATAAGGGGTTAATATCTCAAATATATAAAGAAATCATACAACTCAACATGAAAAAAAATCCAATTTAAAAACTGCAGTGAGGAATTCCATCTCTGCAGCCCAGTGATGAGCATTGCACAAGTTCACTGCCCAGGGCATGGGTTCAATTTCTGGTTGGGGAACTAAGATCCCACAAGCCAAGAGGTGTGGCCAAAAAGAAAAACTGCAGAGAAATTGAGTAGACAGTTTTCCAAAGTGTCTATTTCATGGCCAACAGGTCCATGAAAAGATAGTCAACATCTCTAACCATCAAGGAAATGCAAATCGCTTCACGCCTGTAGAATGGCAGTCACCAAGACGACTACAGTCGACAAGTGCTGGCAAGAAGGTGAAGGAGAGGGAACGGCTGTGCATCGCTACCACTAAGGAAAATAGCATGGAGGCTCCTGCAAACCTGAAGAGAAGAACGACCATATCACCTGGTCATCCCACTTCTAGGTGCGTATCAAAAGGAAGTGAAAACAGGATCTCGAAGAATATCCACACACCCACGTTCACTGCAATAACCGAGATATGGAAACAAACCGAAATGTCTAACGGCAGATGAAGGATGAGGAAGACACGGTGTACGCACGCTGAGATTGACGCCATACATCAGTTATATCTAAAAATACCTGGAAAAAATGAAAATAAAGTGATCTTGGGGACTGCTAAAAATATATGAATGGTCTGAGGGGAGGATAAATTAGGAGTTTGAAGTTAACATTTACATACTACTATACATATTGAATAAAATAGTTGATCGACAAAGACCTACTGTATAACAGGGGGGCCTCTAGTCAATACCCTGGAACAACCTCTAAGGGAGAAGAATCTAAAAAATGGATATATGTGTATGTATGTATAACAGAATCATTTTACTGTACACCTAAAACTAACACAACATTGTAAATCAACTCTATTCCATTATAAAACAAACATTAAATTGACAAAGAAGATGCTGGGTTGACAAACCTATATGTGTATATACATACACACTCTGGAAAATCATATGCGTATATATGGTAAAACCATGAAGAAAGGAGATGATGAATGTAAAATCCAGAGTTTAAAGGAGGAACTTAGGGCTTCAAAAGTTTTAACAATGTCTATTACTTAAGCTGCAAGATAGACACTCAAGAGTTACGGAGTATTCCTGGTTTAAAGAGTAGGCATTTATTAGGCATATTCTTTTGTTTGTATGATACATTGCAAGAAAAAGTTTCCCCAAAGTTCCCCGAGTGTTCCGGGAGGAACACTGGCACTGAATTTATTGGTCAGAAGTCATTTCCATCCAGCAGAGGGGACTGTGACCCCGGGCAGTCAGAGCAACAGATGTCACCGGTTCTCGGAGCTTCTCGAGGGCCTGTGGACCCAGAGGACGGCGCCGAGCAGGCCCGGGAGCAGGGGCGCCTTCAGGAAGACCGGGAGCAGGAAGTGGGCGCTGCCCAGCAGGGGCCGGTGGGGGACCCGGGGACAGACAGGGAGCAGCATCCTCAGGGGAGGCCCTGGGCTCTCCACCCCCGCCCCCCAGAGCGGAGGCCACGACAACCCACAGGAAGATCACCCCCGGACAGGGCAGCCTCTGCCTAAGGACCCCTGCTCCCCCTTCTCTCTGCTGAACAATTTCCCGTGAGAATCAGGCCTGTGAGCATGAGGGTGGCCGTGGCCGTGAGAATCTCGTGAGGGAGACCAGGGATCCCGGCGGGATCTGGGCAGGAGGAGGATTTCTTCCGAGGCCCTCCGCAGGTGGGGTTACCCTATCTGGGGCACAGTAATCAGTCGTGGGGTTATTTATTGTCTCTTCTCCTATAAACAGCGTTTTCCACGAAGGAAGGGACTGTTTGTTTTATTCACAGGGACAAACTCGTACCAGGCTGATACCTCTGAAGAACAGCAGTTAAACATCTGCCGTATACTCTAATATGAAATAAAAATTAAATTTTAAAAAAGTCATATGGTGAACATTAAAAAAGTGATGGTATTAGTTGACGGATGAATGAATGACTCCCTGAGCTCTCTCTGCCCTTGGAGGCTGGGGTTCTTCGACGGGCTGACACGTCTGACCAGGGTTCAAGGTGGGGAGGGGCCACAGTGCAGGAGCCAGTGATGCCCAGAGCTTCTGCCACCTGCTCTACCCTGGACCGGGTCCCGAAGCCTCCTTTTATGGGACATTTACACTCACTTTTCTCTCTACCTGGAGCCTTATTTCTGCAGAAACCTGAATGCCAGGCTCCCCAGATCCTGCAGGTCTCCCCTCAAAGGATTCAGCCAAGCATCCCTGATTATCATGTATTAAATAGCAGATCTAATCATATTCCCACACACACTCTCACCAAACCCCAGTGACTGGTATTACTCCGTAGTACTCATCACAAACCACCATCTTTACATAGGAACTCTGTGTGGACTGGCCCAGGGCATGACTTCCCCCTTAGAGCACAGTTCTCATCAGAGTAGGATCCTGTCTGGGTGGTCTTACCTGCATCCACAGCAGAGCACCAGGCACGTAGTGGGACCTTCACAATCAGGTGTGGGGATAAACGAGGGGCCCGGAGACGGAAGACCAAATCCCCCACCTGTCCCCTCACCCAGAGGAGAAACCACCCGGGTGCCCTGTCCTGGGACGTGGGCCCCTTACCGAGGAGGGTGCCTGGGATCAGGGGTCTCCTGACCAGATGCGGTGCTCCAGGTGTGCCCTGGCAGGGTCGTGGGAGAGCCTGGGGAGACTGTGGACCTCTCGGGGCTAGTGGCTGTAGCAGGGGCTGAGAGAGAAGCACAAGGCAGGCCCTGTCTCCTTCCCCTGGTCCCCACACGCCGGCCTGGTGTGGATGTGACTCACACAGTCAGGGTCACTCAGGCCACCTGATCAGATGTGCTGTGCCCACCGCTCCCCATGGTCTCACCCAGGGCTGACCAGCACCCTGGGCCCCCCTCCCCCCAACCTTCAGATGCACCTTGGCCAGGTGGGCACGGTCAGATGCAGAGTGGAGAAAAAGAGGGAGAAACAGGCTTAGCCCGGCAGGGCCGGAGGAAGTCCCCCAGAGCCACTGAAGAAGCCTCGCTCAGGTCGGGGGCACGGTTTGCACTTTCCTTGGGGTTACAAGAGAAGCCCCAGAAACCCGGGAGGGCCTTCCAGAACACTGTAGGGTCATTGGTGGCCTCTGGGCCAGCACAAGGGCAGAGTGTATATTGGATCGTGATGGAGAAGCCCGCCGCAGGTGCAGGCGCTGGAGCAGGAACCACCCCTAGCTCAGGGGGCGGGCTCATCTCACCTCCTCAGGGGCCTGGGGTCAAGGCTGGCCTGTATGCAGTGGGGCCTTGTGAGAGTGCGCCCCCGTAGGCGGGACCCTGCACAGGCCAGAAAGAAACACGGGCCTCTTGAGAGTGGACGTGCCCTTGTGAGGACAGCAGGCAGCCTGGACCCCAGAGTGGGATGCCTGCCTGCCTGTGAAGCAGGAATGTGCATGAATGTCTCCACTTGGAGACAGAGATGTGCATGTGTGCAAACAAACATGTCCCAGGACACCACCCAGAGCCAGGCTCACTGCCCAACACCTCCCGGTCATCCTGGCCCAACTTTTCTGTCCCACTTCCTTCCTGAGGGTCTGGGTGACCAGCCTGGTGCTGGAGTGAGGGTGGAGAATGCTCACCTGGGACCACAGACACCTCCACCTGAAAGGTGGGGTCCAATGAAAGTGGCATATAGATGCCACATCCATATGTTCCTGCATCCTCTTCTCTGAGGTTCTCCAAGGTCACTGTGAAGGTGAGGTTTGCAGGATCGTCTCTGATGGACACGCGGCCCTTCCTCACTTCTCTCGCAGACCCTCCAGCCTCCACAGTATTCCACAAACAGGGGGCTTTGCACCAGAATTTGTTGTTTTGCTGGAAGTCCTCCCGGTACCGACACGCCACGCTCAGCGATCCCCCCACGATGCCCGTCACTCTGCTCGGGCCGCTCAGGGACAAACAGCCTGGAAAGCACAGTCGGGTCCGGCTTTCACCAGATGGGCCTGGGTCAGAAGAGCCCCGGATGCGGGTCCCTCAGCTGCGCATGGGGTCTGGAGGAGGCCAAGGCAGAAAGGGAGCCTTCCTCAGACCCGGGGGAGGAAGACGGGGAGGAACTCCCTCCTCACCGAGGAGAGGGTGTCCTCGGAGACAGAGGAGCCCAGGATGGGGACACTCCGTGTGTGGGTGTCGGGGGGGTGCCCCAGGAGGTCATCTCTGACTGTGACGGTGGAGGTGTGACCATCACAGGCGCCCCCTCCCACCAGCACAGTGGACCAGCCTCACCTGCTTCACACCCTGAACCCTCCTGCTCGCTGCTGAGACAGGCGGCGGCCCCTCCTGGGACCTTTGCCCCACTCCCCCCGCTCACCCAGCTCCAGCCTTGCCCCCACCCCTCCCCCAGGAAGGGCTCAGCCACTCACCTGGGATCTGGAGCAGCAGCAGAGCTGAAGGCAGCCACCTGGCCCTGCCCCTCGGGGTCATCTCCCCAGCAGGGATGTCACCTGCAGCAGTGCCACGCCCCGGGCAGGGACAGGGTCAGGCCTCCTCAGAGCAGTCCATCCCTATCCCCACTTCCGCTCCTCTGGGCCTCTCTGCTTCCTGGTTCCGTCCCAGGTCAGGTCAGATGGTCCAGGGGGCAGGGGGCAGGAAGCTTAGGGGGAGGGGAACACAGCTGGTCCTGGGCAAGGACCCGCTTCCCTCAGCTCCGCTCAGCCCAGCGACTAGACACCTGCCGAGCCCCTCGATCGGGGAGGTTGTCCCCTCCTCACCCAACCCACAGTAGGTCCTCTTTCGGTCTCACACGCCCATCCACAGCAGGGACAAGCGGGTTCCTCTTCGTGGCACATCCCCACCCTCTGCGATACGTCATTTCATTCTGGTCAGGATGGGAAGTCTGAGGGTGGATGTCATGCTCATCCACCCTCCCCAGTCCTGGTGGTGACCAAGCGGTCACTGTCCCCCCATCTGCAGCTCTAGGTGACCACAACACTCTGCCCCCACAGGACACAAAGTCCTCTTCCTACCCTGCAAATCTGCCCCCATACCCCAGACAACCCCCTACGTCCCATCCTGGCTCTGGTTCCCCCCAGGGTACACATCCCTCGGGCTGGGGCTCCCCCCGTCTCGGGCCCCTCGCTGCCCACATTAGACACAGATCAGCGGTTCCCAGCCTTCCTTGACCCCTTCTTCACGCTCCACCTCTGGACAGAGCCTACTCCCCTTTGAGAAGCAGAGAGAGACTGAGGATGGACAGGAGCCAGAGGAGAAGACGCTGGGTGGAGGGATGAGGAGCTGGGGACCTGGGGGCTGAGAGGGGCCTCCTCCCCCATCAGTGGCACACGGGGGGCGGTTGTACAACAGGGGCCCGAGGGCAGACTGCCGGGCCTCTCCTGGATCCACGATGAGCAGGGGCCTCTTCACGGTGCAGAGATGAGGGAGGGACCTGCCCACAGACAGGAGACACCGCCCCTCCTCGCTCACAGTGGCATGCTCACGTGACATGCAGGGCCATCGAGTCATAGCTTCCTGGGCAGTGGGATGGGGGTAACAGGGAACTGCAGTCCTGCCCTCGGGTAGGTTTTCTCAGCTTCTCAAGATTGTCTGCAGAAACCAGGGTCTCCCATCCCTCCCATGCGGGTCTTAACTCTCCCCAATTCCCGGGCACGGGCAGTGGACCTGGGTCCCAGGGCACAGCTGGAGAGATGCAGTAGAGATGGGTCACTCTGCTTGACTGATCGCTGACCACCCCAGCGACTCCTGCCCTTCTCCAGATGAAGCCCCCGTGTTCCGACCAGGCCTCTCCCACAGCTTGTGGCAGCACGTACAGGCCCAGAACTCAGCCACCTCATCCTGACTCCAGATCCACCCCCAGGCTGCCCCTCTCCCCACACTGGGCCTCACCCAGACCCGTGGACCCCTATTCCTCCTCCTGACCCACAGCCAACACCCTCGACGGTACAACTTCTGACCCTCCCAGCTGAATCTGGTTCTCTTGCTGTGTGTCCCGTGGGACCATTGGACGCCCCCTCTGGGACTGATCTCCTGGGGTTTGTGGCTGCCTGTGTGTCTGCATCTGGGCTGTGGCCCCAGGAGCTGATGTCACCTTCCTGCCTGAAGCCCAGTGTCTTTCCAGCGTAGCCTGTGGCAATTCAGCTAAGGGATCAATGACTGCATTCCTCGCTCAGGACTCCCCTGCTTTCAGGAAACTAACTTCTCCAATCCTGCTTTTCCTTTTTCTACTCAGGCTGCTGAACATGACTGGACCATGATTCTTGGAGAACTTGGCACCAGTGGGCCCTGCAAGCATCTGCCCTCTGCTCTCCCCTGGATCCGCATCTAAGATGCTCCCAAGGCCGGACGTTTGCGCCTGCAGTTCCGTTTGCCTGAGGCTCTTCATCCAGGTGCCCACAGGGCTCGCTGCATTGCTTTCTTCTGGACTTGGTTAAAGATCACCCTCTTCACCAGGCTGATAGCACTCATCCCTTACTGTCTCACCAATAGCACCTCCTCTTATCTTGTGTTACTAAAGATACCGTTCAGTGTGGACTTGGACATTTCTGCATGTCTCCATACCTGTACTATTGTGTCTGTTATTTATCTCTGTCCACCAACTGGAATGTGAGCACCAAAAGCTGAGCTCTTTCTTCTGTTTAATCATGGTTGGAGGTAATGCCTAGGTTACTGGTTACTACTTTGGTCCTCTCCCCATATATTTGCTGCATGGAAATGGGGCGCAATTCCCCAGGTCCTGGCTGCTTCAAATAGATGAGTCAAGATGATAACCTGCCTCTCAGAGATCTTTGGTGCTGGCAAGTTCATCATGATGCAGTTTGAACTGAAACTCTGGGAAGCCTACCCAGGTCTTTGCCTCTACAAGTGGTGGAGACTAAGCGATTGAATAGAAGACTCACTCATGGCCACTCAATCGATTTAAAAACTTGAACCGGGTCTATCACCACAGGCCTTGAATGATGGGGTGAGGGTGGGGCTTGAGTTACCTTTGAACAGGAGGAAGGAAGGATTCTGTGATAGTTGCATAAATTTCATACTGTTATTCTTCTACCAGCCATCCACAGAGGACCTAAACATACTAACCAGTTTGACTGGGCATGGGGAAGGGAATCATCTGGTTTTCCATGCAATGCTGGATTCTGTTCTGAACCTACACCAAGTGGAGAATCCCACATGGCCCTTTGGTCCATTAGACAGAACAGTGGGGTGTGAAGGTTCGTGCAGAATGGAGTCATGATTCAGGTCCCATGCATGCTGGCCCCGTGGACCGTCGACTCTCTGCATTGTTGTTTCCTGAGCTTTAGAATGCCTAATTAAATAGACACAATCAGCAACTGGAGGATTCCCCACAGTGGATCCGAGACCTGTGGAGGGTGGGTGATTATGGTACCACGGATGATGTGGGAAAACATGGGATTGCCTGGATCCATGAAAACAGGTCCAAAAGTAAGATTCCCACACTCCTGGGGTTTGAAGACTGCAGAGAGGGCACCTGAGAGTTCAGTGCATGACTGATGCTCCCCGGATGAGTTGGCAGCTCTGAACTCGATTTTGATCTGTGGTTACAGTTCAGAAGCACCTATAGAGGAGGTATGCTTTTGGTTTTAGAGACTCATGGGCAAGGAAAGAGAACTAGAGGGAAATCCACAAAGACAGTATTCTGAGAGAGAGGTAGAGTGTGATACAGGACAGATGGACAGAAGGCCATTTCCATCCAGTGGTCCGACTGCATCATCGAAGAGGACACAATGAACATGGCGGCTACTGGTTCTCATAAACGGACCGACTCCGCCTGTCTGCAGAGCTCCTCAGAGGCCTGTTGACCCAGAGGACGGCACTGATCAGGCCCAGGAGCAGAGGCACCTTCAGGAAGACCAGGAGCAGGAAGTGGATGCTGCCCAGCAGGGGCCTGTGGGGGACACGGGGACAGACAGTGAGCAGTATCCTCAGGGAGGCCCTGGGCTCTCCACCTTGCTTGCCCCGTGTCCAGGTTCTGTGGCTACAAGAATCTAAACAAGGATCAACCCAACACAGAGCAGCCCCACTTGAAGGACTTCTGGAGGCTGATCTTCCAGAATTGCCCCTGACACTTAGGACTGCGGACATAAGGGTGGATGTGTCTATGAGAATCATGTGAGGGAGACCAGAGATCCAAGGGGGACCTGGGCCTTAGGAGGGTCTCTGTCTGAGCCCTCCTCACGGGGGCTTCCCCAGAGGCCCAGAGGGTAAAGAATCTGCCTGCCATGCAGGAGAGACCCGGGTTCAATCCCAGGGTCAGGAGGATTCCCTGGAGAAGAGAATGGCTACCCACTGCAGTATTCCTGCCTGGAGAGTCCCATGGACAGAGGAGCCTGGTGGGCTACAGTCTGTGGGGGTCACAGAGTCAGACACGACGGAAACACCTAAGACCCTCCTCATGGGGGGGATTTGCGGTCGAGGGTATGGAACCCAATGCTGGGAGACTTGGTTGAGGTCTGCTCGCCAGTGGAGAATCACCACCTTGAGCATAGGGACTCATCCGTCTTATTCAGTGAGCAGCCGGTCCCCGCCCAGGGTCTCCAAAGCTCCAGTCCTTAAAAGCCCTTGGCTGGTGAAAGAGTGACCCCCGCAGCTCTGCACCCTCAGAGGCCAGGCCTCTTCAGCAAGATGATACTGATGAGCAGGGCTCCAGGGGACAGAGGGGTCACCCACGCCCAGAGCATCTGCTTCTGGCGCTGCCCCTAGCTGGGGGCCTTTGGTTCAACCTGTTGGTCCGTGTGCCTGGGGCCATATTTCTGAGGATCCCGGCATACCTTGCCCCCCAGATCCTGCAGACCTCCACTCAAGTGTCTGTAATCAGTTAGGTGCCCTCTCATCATTGCGTGTTAACTAGCAAACTCCACCACCCTCCCACCCAGGCTGGCTCCTCACCCAGGTGACATTGTCCTGCAAGCAATCATCAGGAGGTGGTGTATTTATACCACCGACCTGTCGATCTGTTCGCTTTGTGAGTCCCCTCTTAGAACACGACTCTCTCAGGGCAGGACTGGGTCTGTGTGCTCTGATACTGTAGCCCAAGTCAATGAGAGCTCCGGGCACTTAGTAGGACCCTTACTGCTTGTTACAGAATTTGTTGAATAAATTCGGGTCTTTGATGAAGGGAGACTTGCCTATTACTCCCTGGGCTCACTGAGAAATCACCCAGATGAGATGTCCTGGGATGGGGGTCCCTTACCGATGAGCTTGGCCGGGATCAGGGGCCTCCGGCCCAGACACGGTGCTCCAGGTGGGCACTGGCAGGGTCGTGGGAGCCTCCGGGGTGCTTGTGGACCTCTTGGGGCTGGTGGTTGTCATAGTGACTGAGGGAGAAACACAAGTCAGGCCCCGTTTCGTCCCCTGGGTCCCCTCCCTCTGTTCCAGTGTGGTTCTGACTCACAGTCAAGGTCACTCATGCCATCTGGATGGATGTGCTGTGTCTACCACCCCCGTGGCCACACCCAGGCCTGGCCAACACCCTAGGCCCCCCTCCCAGATGACCCAGGCCAAATGGGCACTGGTAGAGGCATATGGCCCTGTTCCCCTGGGGATCTGAGAGTGTAGAGAGGGCACTTGGCTCCAGGTCACCCCAGCCACAGACACACCTCTGTCCTCCAGGCCACCCTGCCAGGGGACAAACGGGGTGACCCATACTCTTTAGGGATTAACACAGAGAGATGGGGCGGACAGTGACGGGCAAGGGGAGAGGCTGGAGTGACGCTCAGACAGAAAGTCCTGCAGCTGAGTCTGAGCTGAATCAGGAGACCCTGTGTCCCTGTCAGCCAGGCCCAGGGCCCCAGGCGGTCCTGTCCATGAGAGGGCATGATGGAAAGATCTAAAGAGATACCGACCTGGTGGACCCCATGAAATGTGCCTCTCCTGAGGTTAGTGGACAAAGCCCTTCCCCGACACACCCCACGGAACCAGTAAACTTTCGCTTCCGTTCTTGTAAAAAGAAACACACAAAGGAAACGTGCCTCGAGAGAGAGAAGCAGCAGCCAGCAGGAAGGAGCTCGGGGAGCCGGGGGCGACGTCAGAGCAAGCAGTCAGGGGAGAAAGCGTGTGTGTGCACAGAGGATCGTGGCTGGCTTCCTAGGACACCAGAGCAGCCTTCTGTGAAAGAAGACTTACTGGGGCTTCCCTGGTGGTCCAGTGGCAAAGAATGTGCCTCCCACTGCAGGGGACGGGGGTTCGATCCTTGGTCTGGGAAGATCCCACACGCCACTGGGCGTGCACAATGCCTGAGCCTGTGCTCGAGAGCCTGCGCTCCGCGGCAGGAGACGCCACCGAGCAAGAAGCCCGAGCGCCGCAGCAAAGAGCAGCCCACGCTCACTGCAGCCGGAGAAGGCCCGGGTGCAGCAGGCAGGACCCAGCACGGCCAGAGAGAAAGAAAGGAAAGTTTAAGGATTCATTTTCGGCACGTGGCGGTCTACTGAGGGCCATGACACCTCCTAACAGCCCTTTTCCTCATCCTTCTTTGCCTAACGGGTTCCTCTGTGTTTCCTCCTTGGGTACCAGGTGCCAGAGGAAGAGGGAGAGGCAAGGTCAGGCTGGAGCAGGGAGGGGTCTCCAAAGCATCCAGAGCCCCACGTGGGCTCCGGGACCCTGCCTCCCCCCTCTCGCGGCTGCTGCAGATCCCCAGGACCACCAGGGTGAGGCTGGGGCCCCAGGAGCCCTCCACGACACTGCAATGTCCTCTCCTGGCCCTGCTGGCCCCCGCCCCCGAGGGCTGGCCAGAGAGGTCCAGGAAGAGACACAGGGTCACCTTCAGAGTGGACCTGACCCTTGTCCGGTCAGGAAGGCAGCAGGCCCCCAGATACAGGGCGTCTCCTCCTCCCCTTCCACTCAAGAGACCTTCAGGTTGAGGGTGTGTCAGGGCGGGACACAGAGGAGGTCACGAAGAATCAGAGGTGGACATGTGCCTGCCGACCACTCAGAGCCTGGGTCCTGATCACCGATCCCAGGACACCCTCTGCTCCAGGTCCTCCCTGAGGCTCAGGGTCCCAGGTATGGTCAGCAGCCCTAGAGCTGACGTCGCAGGCTCACCTGGGATCACAGACACCTCCACCTCGAAGGTGGGGTCCAATGAAACTGACACATAGATGCCACATCCATATGTTCCTGCATCCTCCTCTCTGAGGTTCTCCAAGGTCACTGTGAAGGTGAGGTTTGCAGGATCGTCTCTGATGGACACGCGGCCCTTCCTCACTTCTCTCGCAGACCCTCCAGTCTCCACAGTATTCCACAAACAGGGGGCTTTGCACCAGAATTTGTTGTTTTGCTGGAATTCCTCCCGGTACCGACATGCCACGCTCAGCGATCCCCCCACGATGCCCGTCACTCTGCTCGGGCCGCTCAGGGACAAACAGCCTGGAAAGCACAGTCGGGTCCGGCTTTCACCAGATGGGCCTGGGTCAGAAGAGCCCCGGATGCGGGTCCCTCAGCTGCGCATGGGGTCTGGAGGAGGCCAAGGCAGAAAGGGAGCCTTCCTCAGACCCGGGGGAGGAAGACGGGGAGGAACTCCCTCCTCACCGAGGAGAGGGTGTCCTCGGAGACAGAGGAGCCCAGGATGGGGACACCTCCGTGTGTGGGTGTCGGGGGGGGTGCCCCAGGAGGTCATCTCTGACTGTGACGGTGGAGGTGTGACCATCACAGGCGCCCCCTCCCACCAGCACAGTGGACCAGCCTCACCTGCTTCACACCCTGAACCCTCCTGCTCGCTGCTGAGACAGGCGGCGGCCCCTCCTGGGACCTTTGCCCCACTCCCCCCGCTCACCCAGCTCCAGCCTTGCCCCCACCCCTCCCCCAGGAAGGGCTCAGCCACTCACCTGGGATCTGGAGCAGCAGCAGAGCTGAAGGCAGCCACCTGGCCCTGCCCCTCGGGGTCATCTCCCCAGCAGGGATGTCACCTGCAGCAGTGCCACGCCCCGGGCAGGGACAGGGTCAGGCCTCCTCAGAGCAGTCCATCCCTATCCCCACTTCCGCTCCTCTGGGCCTCTCTGCTTCCTGGTTCCGTCCCAGGTCAGGTCAGATGGTCCAGGGGGCAGGGGGCAGGAAGCTTAGGGGGAGGGGAACACAGCTGGTCCTGGGCAAGGACCCGCTTCCCTCAGCTCCGCTCAGCCCAGCGACTAGACACCTGCCGAGCCCCTCGATCGGGGAGGTTGTCCCCTCCTCACCCAACCCACACTAGGTCCTCTTTCGGTCTCACACGCCCATCCACAGCAGGGACAAGCGGATTCCTCTTCGTGGCACATCCCCACCCTCTGCGATACGTCATTTCATTCTGGTCAGGATGGGAAGTCTGAGGGTGGATGTCATGCTCATCCACCCTCCCCAGTCCTGGTGGTGACCAAGCGGTCACTGTCCCCCCATCTGCAGCTCTAGGTGACCACAACACTCTGCCCCCACAGGACACAAAGTCCTCTTCCTACCCTGCAAATCTGCCCCCATACCCCAGACAACCCCCTACGTCCCATCCTGGCTCTGGTTCCCCCCAGGGTACACATCCCTCGGGCTGGGGCTCCCCCCGTCTCGGGCCCCTCGCTGCCCACATTAGACACAGATCAGCGGTTCCCAGCCTTCCTTGACCCCTTCTTCACGCTCCACCTCTGGACAGAGCCTACTCCCCTTTGAGAAGCAGAGAGAGACTGAGGATGGACAGGAGCCAGAGGAGAAGACGCTGGGTGGAGGGATGAGGAGCTGGGGACCTGGGGGCTGAGAGGGGCCTCCTCCCCCATCAGTGGCACACGGGGGGCGGTTGTACAACAGGGGCCCGAGGGCAGACTGCCGGGCCTCTCCTGGATCCACGATGAGCAGGGGCCTCTTCACGGTGCAGAGATGAGGGAGGGACCTGCCCACAGACAGGAGACACCGCCCCTCCTCGCTCACAGTGGCATGCTCACGTGACATGCAGGGCCATCGAGTCATAGCTTCCTGGGCAGTGGGATGGGGGTAACAGGGAACTGCAGTCCTGCCCTCGGGTAGGTTTTCTCAGCTTCTCAAGATTGTCTGCAGAAACCAGGGTCTCCCATCCCTCCCATGCGGGTCTTAACTCTCCCCAATTCCCGGGCACGGGCAGTGGACCTGGGTCCCAGGGCACAGCTGGAGAGATGCAGTAGAGATGGGTCACTCTGCTTGACTGATCGCTGACCACCCCAGCGACTCCTGCCCTTCTCCAGATGAAGCCCCCGTGTTCCGACCAGGCCTCTCCCACAGCTTGTGGCAGCACGTACAGGCCCAGAACTCAGCCACCTCATCCTGACTCCAGATCCACCCCCAGGCTGCCCCTCTCCCCACACTGGGCCTCACCCAGACCCGTGGACCCCTATTCCTCCTCCTGACCCACAGCCAACACCCTCGACGGTACAACTTCTGACCCTCCCAGCTGAATCTGGTTCTCTTGCTGTGTGTCCCGTGGGACCATTGGACGCCCCCTCTGGGACTGATCTCCTGGGGTTTGTGGCTGCCTGTGTGTCTGCATCTGGGCTGTGGCCCCAGGAGCTGATGTCACCTTCCTGCCTGAAGCCCAGTGTCTTTCCAGCGTAGCCTGTGGCAATTCAGCTAAGGGATCAATGACTGCATTCCTCGCTCAGGACTCCCCTGCTTTCAGGAAACTAACTTCTCCAATCCTGCTTTTCCTTTTTCTACTCAGGCTGCTGAACATGACTGGACCATGATTCTTGGAGAACTTGGCACCAGTGGGCCCTGCAAGCATCTGCCCTCTGCTCTCCCCTGGATCCGCATCTAAGATGCTCCCAAGGCCGGACGTTTGCGCCTGCAGTTCCGTTTGCCTGAGGCTCTTCATCCAGGTGCCCACAGGGCTCGCTGCATTGCTTTCTTCTGGACTTGGTTAAAGATCACCCTCTTCACCAGGCTGATAGCACTCATCCCTTACTGTCTCACCAATAGCACCTCCTCTTATCTTGTGTTACTAAAGATACCGTTCAGTGTGGACTTGGACATTTCTGCATGTCTCCATACCTGTACTATTGTGTCTGTTATTTATCTCTGTCCACCAACTGGAATGTGAGCACCAAAAGCTGAGCTCTTTCTTCTGTTTAATCATGGTTGGAGGTAATGCCTAGGTTACTGGTTACTACTTTGGTCCTCTCCCCATATATTTGCTGCATGGAAATGGGGCGCAATTCCCCAGGTCCTGGCTGCTTCAAATAGATGAGTCAAGATGATAACCTGCCTCTCAGAGATCTTTGGTGCTGGCAAGTTCATCATGATGCAGTTTGAACTGAAACTCTGGGAAGCCTACCCAGGTCTTTGCCTCTACAAGTGGTGGAGACTAAGCGATTGAATAGAAGACTCACTCATGGCCACTCAATCGATTTAAAAACTTGAACCGGGTCTATCACCACAGGCCTTGAATGATGGGGTGAGGGTGGGGCTTGAGTTACCTTTGAACAGGAGGAAGGAAGGATTCTGTGATAGTTGCATAAATTTCATACTGTTATTCTTCTACCAGCCATCCACAGAGGACCTAAACATACTAACCAGTTTGACTGGGCATGGGGAAGGGAATCATCTGGTTTTCCATGCAATGCTGGATTCTGTTCTGAACCTACACCAAGTGGAGAATCCCACATGGCCCTTTGGTCCATTAGACAGAACAGTGGGGTGTGAAGGTTCGTGCAGAATGGAGTCATGATTCAGGTCCCATGCATGCTGGCCCCGTGGACCGTCGACTCTCTGCATTGTTGTTTCCTGAGCTTTAGAATGCCTAATTAAATAGACACAATCAGCAACTGGAGGATTCCCCACAGTGGATCCGAGACCTGTGGAGGGTGGGTGATTATGGTACCACGGATGATGTGGGAAAACATGGGATTGCCTGGATCCATGAAAACAGGTCCAAAAGTAAGATTCCCACACTCCTGGGGTTTGAAGACTGCAGAGAGGGCACCTGAGAGTTCAGTGCATGACTGATGCTCCCCGGATGAGTTGGCAGCTCTGAACTCGATTTTGATCTGTGGTTACAGTTCAGAAGCACCTATAGAGGAGGTATGCTTTTGGTTTTAGAGACTCATGGGCAAGGAAAGAGAACTAGAGGGAAATCCACAAAGACAGTATTCTGAGAGAGAGGTAGAGTGTGATACAGGACAGATGGACAGAAGGCCATTTCCATCCAGTGGTCCGACTGCATCATCGAAGAGGACACAATGAACATGGCGGCTACTGGTTCTCATAAACGGACCGACTCCGCCTGTCTGCAGAGCTCCTCAGAGGCCTGTTGACCCAGAGGACGGCACTGATCAGGCCCAGGAGCAGAGGCACCTTCAGGAAGACCAGGAGCAGGAAGTGGATGCTGCCCAGCAGGGGCCTGTGGGGGACACGGGGACAGACAGTGAGCAGTATCCTCAGGGAGGCCCTGGGCTCTCCACCTTGCTTGCCCCGTGTCCAGGTTCTGTGGCTACAAGAATCTAAACAAGGATCAACCCAACACAGAGCAGCCCCACTTGAAGGACTTCTGGAGGCTGATCTTCCAGAATTGCCCCTGACACTTAGGACTGCGGACATAAGGGTGGATGTGTCTATGAGAATCATGTGAGGGAGACCAGAGATCCAAGGGGGACCTGGGCCTTAGGAGGGTCTCTGTCTGAGCCCTCCTCACGGGGGCTTCCCCAGAGGCCCAGAGGGTAAAGAATCTGCCTGCCATGCAGGAGAGACCCGGGTTCAATCCCAGGGTCAGGAGGATTCCCTGGAGAAGAGAATGGCTACCCACTGCAGTATTCCTGCCTGGAGAGTCCCATGGACAGAGGAGCCTGGTGGGCTACAGTCTGTGGGGGTCACAGAGTCAGACACGACGGAAACACCTAAGACCCTCCTCATGGGGGGGGGTTGCGGTCGAGGGTATGGAACCCAATGCTGGGAGACTTGGTTGAGGTCTGCTCGCCAGTGGAGAATCACCACCTTGAGCATAGGGACTCATCCGTCTTATTCAGTGAGCAGCCGGTCCCCACCCAGGGTCTCCAAAGCTCCAGTCCTTAAAAGCCCTTGGCTGGTGAAAGAGTGACGCCCGCAGCTCTGCACCCTCAGAGGCCAGGCCTCTTCAGCAAGATGATACTGATGAGCAGGGCTCCAGGGGACAGAGGGGTCACCCACGCCCAGAGCATCTGCTTCTGGCGCTGCCCCTAGCTGGGGGCCTTTGGTTCAACCTGTTGGTCCGTGTGCCTGGGGCCATATTTCTGAGGATCCCGGCATACCTTGCCCCCCAGATCCTGCAGACCTCCACTCAAGTGTCTGTAATCAGTTAGGTGTCCTCTCATCACTGTGTGTTAGCTAGCAAACTCCACCACCCTCCCACCCAGGCTGGCTCCTCACCCAGGTGACATTGTCCTGCAAGCAATCATCAGGAGGTGGTGTATTTATACCACCGACCTGTCGATCTGTTCGCTTTGTGAGTCCCCTCTTAGAACACGACTCTCTCAGGGCAGGACTGGGTCTGTGTGCTCTGATACTGTAGACCAAGTCAACGAGAGCTCCGGGCACTTAGTAGGACCCTTACTGCTTGTTACAGAATTTGTTGAATAAATTCAGATCTTTGGTAAAGGGAGACTTGCCTATTACTCCCTGGGCTCACTGAGAAATCACCCAGATGAGATGTCCTGGGATGGGGGTCCCTTACCGATGAGCTTGGCCGGGATCAGGGGCCTCCGGCCCAGACACGGTGCTCCAGGTGGGCACTGGCAGGGTCGTGGGAGCCTCCGAGGTGCTTGTGGACCTCTTGGGGCTGGTGGTTGTCATAGTGACTGAGGGAGAAACACAAGTCAGGCCCCGTTTCGTCCCCTGGGTCCCCTCCCTCCGTTCCAGTGTGGTTCTGACTCACAGTCAAGGTCACTCATGCCATCTGGATGGACGTGCTGTGTCTACCACCCCCGTGGCCACACCCAGGCCTGGCCAACACCCTAGGCCCCCCTCCCAGATGACCCAGGCCAAATGGGCACTGGTAGAGGCATATGGCCCTGTTCCCCTGGGGATCTGAGAGTGTAGAGAGGGCACTTGGCTCCAGGTCACCCCAGCCACAGACACACCTCTGTCCTCCAGGCCACCCTGCCAGGGGACAAACGGGGTGACCCATACTCTTTAGGGATTAACACAGAGAGATGGGGCGGACAGTGACGGGCAAGGGGAGAGGCTGGAGTGACGCTCAGACAGAAAGTCCTGCAGCTGAGTCTGAGCTGAATCAGGAGACCCTGTGTCCCTGTCAGCCAGGCCCAGGGCCCCAGGCGGTCCTGTCCATGAGAGGGCATGATGGAAAGATCTAAAGAGATACCGACCTGGTGGACCCCATGAAATGTGCCTCTCCTGAGGTTAGTGGACAAAGCCCTTCCCCGACACACCCCACGGAACCAGTAAACTTTCGCTTCCGTTCTTGTAAAAAGAAACACACAAAGGAAACGTGCCTCGAGAGAGAGAAGCAGCAGCCAGCAGGAAGGAGCTCGGGGAGCCGGGGGCGACGTCAGAGCAAGCAGTCAGGGGAGAAAGCGTGTGTGTGCACAGAGGATCGTGGCTGGCTTCCTAGGACACCAGAGCAGCCTTCTGTGAAAGAAGACTTACTGGGGCTTCCCTGGTGGTCCAGTGGCAAAGAATGTGCCTCCCACTGCAGGGGACGGGGGTTCGATCCTTGGTCTGGGAAGATCCCACACGCCACTGGGCGTGCACAATGCCTGAGCCTGTGCTCGAGAGCCTGCGCTCCGCGGCAGGAGACGCCACCGAGCAAGAAGCCCGAGCGCCGCAGCAAAGAGCAGCCCACGCTCACTGCAGCCGGAGAAGGCCCGGGTGCAGCAGGCAGGACCCAGCACGGCCAGAGAGAAAGAAAGGAAAGTTTAAGGATTCATTTTCGGCACGTGGCGGTCTACTGAGGGCCATGACACCTCCTAACAGCCCTTTTCCTCATCCTTCTTTGCCTAACGGGTTCCTCTGTGTTTCCTCCTTGGGTACCAGGTGCCAGAGGAAGAGGGAGAGGCAAGGTCAGGCTGGAGCAGGGAGGGGTCTCCAAAGCATCCAGAGCCCCACGTGGGCTCCGGGACCCTGCCTCCCCCCTCTCGCGGCTGCTGCAGATCCCCAGGACCACCAGGGTGAGGCTGGGGCCCCAGGAGCCCTCCACGACACTGCAATGTCCTCTCCTGGCCCTGCTGGCCCCCGCCCCCGAGGGCTGGCCAGAGAGGTCCAGGAAGAGACACAGGGTCACCTTCAGAGTGGACCTGACCCTTGTCCGGTCAGGAAGGCAGCAGGCCCCCAGATTCAGGGCGTCTCCCCCTCCCCTTCCACCCAGGAGATCTTCAGGTGTGAGGGTGTGTCAGGGTAGACACAGATGAGGTCTCAAAGAATCAGAGGTGGACATGTGCCTGCCGACCACTCAGAGCCTGGGTCCTGATTACCGATCCCAGGACACCCTCTGCTCCAGGTCCTCCCTGACGGTCAGGGTCCCAGGTATGGTCAGCAGCCCTAGAGCTGACGTCACAGGCTCACCTGGGATCACAGACACCTCCACCTGGAAGGTGGGGTCAACTGAAAACGGTACATAGATCCCACATCCGTACGTTCCCGCATCCTCCTCTCTGAGGCTCTTCAAGGTCACTGTGAAGGTGAGGCTCGCAGGACGGTCTCTGATGGACACGCGGCCCCTCCTCACTTTTCTCTCTGACTCTCTGGTCTCCACAATCTTCCATGGTGACACACACGGGTGTTTGCACCAGTATTTGATGTTGTCTACCAATGCCTCCTGGTACTGACACTCCACGCTCAGGGATCCCCCCACGATGCCTGTCACAGTTTGGGGACCACTCAGGGACAAACAGCCTGGAAAACACAAACAAGTCTAACTCCATCAGGTGAGTCTGGGTCTGGGGAGCCCTGGATGCGGGTCCCTTGAGGGCCTGTGAGGTCTGGAGGAGGCCAAGTCAGGAGGCAGGCCCTTCCTCAGACCTAGGGGAGGAAGACGGAGAAAGGAGGTCCCTCCTCACAGAGGAGAGGGATCCATGGAGACAGGATGGGAAAAACTGTGTGTGTAGGGCCCCAGGAGGTCATCTCTGACTGTGACCGTTGAGGTGTGACCATCACAGGCGCCCCCTCCCACCAGCACAGTGGACCAGCCTCACCTGCTTCACACCCTGAACCCTCCTGCTCATTGCCGAGACAGGTGGCGGCCCCTCCTGGGACCTTCGCCCCCCTCCCCCAGCTCACCCACCTCCAGCCCTGCCCCCTCCCCTCCCCCAGGAAGGGCTCAGCCGCTCACCTGGGACCTGGAGCAGCAGCAGAGCTGAAGGCAGCCACCGGGCCCTGCCCCTCGGGGTCATTTCCCCAGCAGGGATGGCGCCTGCAGCAGCGCCAGGCCCCGGGCAGGGACAGGGTCAGGCCTCTTCAGGGGATTCCCTCTTGGTGTCCACTTCTCTGCGCCTCTCCGCTCCTTGTCCAGCCCTGTCCCTGTTCCCCACAGTCCTCCTGGCGGCTGGCACTGAGCCGCGTGCAGAAAGCTCGGGGTGAGAAGCAGAAGGATGTGCGACGCCGGCCGGTGACCCCCGGCTCCTCTCCGTCTGGTGACTGGACGTCCGCGGTCGCTTCCGAGGATGAGTGGCCCACTCGGCTCAGCCCACAGGTGCCCTCTGCGGGTCTCACACGCACCCACCCAACACCTGGGCTACGCTGGGCTGTCTCCGAGGCGCGTCCCCACCCTTGGTGATGCATCATTTCCTCTGTGGTCAGGGTGGACGGCTCCGGGGGCAGGTGCCAGGTTCCTCCATGCTCTCTGGCCTGGGTGGTGACCACAGCAGGTCTGTGTCCCGCCGACCTGCAGATACATGCACCCGTGAGAGCACCGCCCCGTGGAGCGTCAGGCTCCTCTTCAGTCAACCTCAGATGCTCCCAGGAGGTCCTGTCAGGTCCGAGCGCAAATCCCACAGCCCAGGGCTTCCCTCAGGGTGTGCATCCTGGATCCCCGACACAGACAGGGAGCCACTGACCCCATCGCTCCATGTTCCTCACTGTTTCCTCTTCTTTTGAGAGTGGACTGAATCGTGAGCCTCAGGACAGAGAGCTGAGTGTGAGCAAGGGCAGCTCATCGGTGAAAGATGCTCAGGGGGACGCTGGGACCCCTGGAGTCACGGGCCATTTACCCTCCACCCAGGGGCGTGGAGGGGGCGGCTGCACATCACGCGGGCGGTCTGCCCGAAGACACCAGAGCTGGCCTCTCCTTTGAGTTCGAAGTGATGAGCAGAGATGCCGAGAGCGGGGGTGGTCCTTCCCAGGAGGTAGGCAGGCAGGTCTGTCCTCACTCAGAGTGACTCATCCTCATGACGTGATGGTTTAGGGTCAGTTACCCCCTGGGATTGACAGGGAGGTCGGTCCAGGTGCAGGGTCATCTCACCCACCTTATAAGTTTCTCAACCTTGTCCTGCACAAGCCAGGTCTACTGATTTCCTCCTAAACACTCTCTTCCCAGATCTGTTCCTCTTCCAGACTCTCTTATCAAGATCCGAGGCCACAATATTCCTGGAACCCAAATCCTGTAGTTCTTGATTTCTCTAACTCTCTCTCTTTCTCCCTCCTTTCCCCCTGGTATTATAACAGCCCTCTCCCCCTACAACACTGTGACTACAGCTGTCTCCATCTCAATCCTCCTCATGCCCTTTCTGTTTTTATGTTATGACTTGATAAAAGAATTTAAGCACCAATTTAGAAAGAATAAAATATAGCTGTGTGCAGCAATATGAATGGACCTATAGAATGTCATACTGAATGAAGTAAGTCAGACAGGGAAAGACAAATATCATATGATATCGTACATGGAGTCCAGTTTTTTAAAAATGATATAAAGACACTATTAACGAAACAGAAATAGACTCGCAGATTTCAGGAAAAAATTACGGTTTACCAAAGGAAAAATGTGGGTGGGGATAGGGATATGTTAGGAGTTTGAGCTTAACAAACACATAGTACTCTACATAAAATGGATAGCCAACAAGGATTTACTGTGTAAAACAGGGAACTCTGATCAGTATCATATAATAACCTATATGGGAAGAGGACCTGAAAATAAATACATGTATGTGTGTAACTGAATCACGTTGCCGTACACTTGAAACTAATACGACATTGTGAATCAAATAAACTCTAATAAACCTTTTTAAAAAGCATTTAAAAACCAAAACATGGAAATAAAAAAGTAGTGAACACACATGCAAAGTCAAAATGCGAAATTATACTTCGGAACGTTTGCTTGATTTTTTTTGTGGGGGGGGAGGGAATTTATCATTTACTGGTCTTTTCATGTAGTAAAGAGTGTATCGCTAAACCTCACCTCTCCCCAGCTACCTTTCCCACGAATCAGAAGGTAAACAAACTGCATGTGTGCATATTCAGTCGCTCAATCGTGTCTGACTCTTCACAACCCCCTCAACTGCAGCCCACCAGGTCCCCCTTTCCATGGGATTTCCCAGACAAGAATACTGGAGTGGGTTGCCATTTGCTTCTCCAGGGGATCTCCCCGACCCAGGGATCGAACCTGCGTCTCCTGCACTGGCAGGCGGGTTCTTTACCCTGTGCTACCTGGGAAGCCCAAACAAACTGACCAGAAGCATGTCATAAGTGATGGTGTCAAGGCCCGAACCCAGGTTTCCCTGGCACAGCGGCCCAAGTACCTCCTCACCATCTGGTGACTCTGAAGGGGAAACAGCCAGGGGCCAGCAAGAGGGAGAAGTACAGTCATCAGACCCAGGAAGCAGAACGGGAGGTTTGTTGGTCACCAGGGTAACCTCAATTGAGAAACCTGATCTGGACTATTTCCTACGCTTTCTCCACCCACCAAGATCTCTCCCTTCTCGCTAACTTCCCCTGGGTATCTTCCTTTCCAGAAAAACATTTCTTGAGCTGAAAGCAGTTTCTGCTGGCTCCTGGCTGTGCTGATTGGTGGGAAGAATCAACATGGGCAATGACAACAGTAATTCAGGAAATGCATCTGGTTTTCTGTAGGGGTTCCTGTTGTGATGGTTAATTTTATGCATCTACCCGACTGGCCACAGAGTGCCTGGATTAAACAGTGCTGGAGGTGTGTGCGAGGACGTTTCCCGGGGAGATCAGAGTGGGAAGGGGCAGACTCAGTGAAGCAGGTTGCCCCTGACCAATGTAGGTTGCTGTTCCATCCCTAAGCTGTGTCCAACTCTTTGCGACCCCATGGACTGCAGCACGCCAGCATCCTCTGTCCTTCACTGTCTCCCAGAGTTTGCTCAGATTCATAGCCACTGACTTGGTAAGGTCATCCAACCATCTCATCCTCTGCGTCGTCCTTCTCCTTTTGCCTCCAATCTTTCCCAGGATCAGGATCTTTCCCGATGAGTGGGCTCTCCGCATCAGGTGGCCAAAGTATTGGAGCTTCAGCGTCAGCATCTGTTCTTCCAGTGAATATTGGGGATTGACTTCCTTTAGGAAGGACTGGTTGGGTCTCATCTGATCTCCCAGTGTAGGCGGGCATCCTTTAGTCGGTCTGATGAAGTTAGCCTGACGGGTGGAGGAACAAGGTCTTCAGCCCTTACTGCCTGGTTGCTTCCTATCCTTGGCTCTTCTGCTTCTCAAACTTTTGAACTTGGCGTGAGTGGTATAGACAGCAGACGGTGGTGTTACCAGGTGAGCCAATTCCTTATAATACATCTCTTCATATGCAAACATCTCCTATTGTTCCCTTTTTCTAAAGTGTTGATCAACATAAGTGTGTATCTGGTGGCCCTGTGGGAATTTCCTTCTTCAACTCTCAAGTCTGCACATGAAGACCTAACTCAGAAAAGTTTCCTGCGAGGAACTGACACAGAGATCCCAAACCTCTATGAGGGAAATAAAGCTGATACTCCTGATCCACTCCCCTCCAAAGAAAGGCAATTACTTGGCTTTAAGCCCAGGCAGTAAAGAATCCGCCTGCAATGTGGGAGACCTGGGTTTGATCCCTGGGTTGGGAAGATCCCCTGGAGGAGGGCATGGCAACCCTCCTACGGAGTGACACCCCCAACACACAGACATCCCCCGGAGCTGATGAGCTGTTTGTGTTTCAGAGGGCTGCTAGAGAGCCATGGAGGGCAAAAAGCCTAAAATGTCAAGTGGAGCATTAAATAGCATGGGAATCAACCAGAGTGAACTTGATTGGGACAGAGTAAAGGGACAAAGTAGGTGATTAAATAGTTACACCACTAGAGGTTGGAAGTAGAAAATAAATGGGTGGTGGGTGCGTGAAACAGAAAGTCACTCAGTCATTGCAAAGTTGCAAAGTCAGACTCTTTGCAACCCCATGGACTATACAGTCCATGGAATTCTCCAGGCCAGAATACTGGAGTGGGTGGCCTTTCCCTTCTCCAGGGGATCTTCCCAACCCAGGGGTCGAACTTAGGTCTCCCACATTGCAGGTGGATTTTTTACCAGCTGGGCTACAAGTCTTGTAAGTTGATGATTACTCATGAAAGCAGGTTTGCTTAACCACAAAACCAAGCAGGCTTGCTCACAACAAAACCATGCAACAGAAGCACAAGACATGCCTCCCCAAAATAAAACGATGGTGGCATGAGCCCCACATCCTGTCCAGTGAGCTCAGTAATTAATGCTTTCTGCACACATAAAAAACAATCATTTGTGGACCTAGCTTGACTGTGTAGGGACAAGAAAACTCCACTACTCAATCTGGAGGAGGAGCTGATGATGGAAACTCTACATTTACTGGAGAAAAACAAAGTTCTTCTCCTCCTCCCCACTTTTCCTTTGATTATAAAACTGTAACCCAGTAAGTTCTCGGGCGTGATATCTCTCAGCCACCCTTTTGTAAACCTCACAAGCATCCTATTCTAATAAATCATTTCTTATCTATCACTTTGCTGTCACTGAATTCTTTGCATTGAGACATAAAAGACTGTAGTACCAGAGCTCTTCAGAGCCCCCTGGACGACACCTAACGATTTCATATTGGGTCTCTCTTTCGCCAGGGAAAAATATAATTAAACTAATAACAAGTTCTGTGCTTAGTCGCTCAGTTATGTCCACCTCTTTGAGACCCCACGGACTGCAGCCCGCCAGGCTCCTCTGTCCATGGCGATTCTCCAGGGAAGAATACTAGATTGGGTTGCTATACCCGCCTTCAGGGGATCTTCCCAACCCAGGGATCGAACCCAGATCTCCCGCATTACAGGCAGATTCTTTACCGCCTGAGCTTAAAGCCAAGTCATTGCCTTTCTTCGAAGGGGAGTGGATCAGGAATATTAGCTTTATTTCCTTCTGGGTTTCAGGGTCTCTCCAAGATCCACAGAAACCTGGGGAATAAGATAGA